AAATAGAGCGAAATTAGGCATGGCTAAAATGCAGGATCTGTTTGGTATTTGGAAAAAAAACTATATTTATATACTTTATATAGGTATGGCCCTACAATATATGTTTCAAATATAGCAAGATAGGTCCACTTTAAATAAGATAATACCGATTAATGCACATGTGTCAAACTCAAGGCCCGGGGGCCAAATCAGGCCCTTGGTGGATTTAATTTCGGCCCGCAGGATAATTTCTAATTACTATTAGATCTGGCCCGCCGGTATATTGCACGCACACCTTCACTCCATCCTGAGGGTCTCCTAAGCTCAGAGCCTGACCCCAAACATTGATGAACTTGCACCCAAGATGAGATGCCAAGTATCTGAACTAGCATCACAGAGCAGTACACTGAGTTTAATGGATGTTTCCTTCTACACTTTCTCTCTCACGAAAACAGGGCATGTTCGGTTTCTCTTTGAGGGAAATAGTTTTGTTGAAGCTGTTGTTGGCCTGTGGGAAAATGTACTCATAAGAAATGACTCTGGAAAAGCTGCAGATAGAGCCATAAGAAATGAATGCAACTGATTATTTAATGTTTAATGTTTTTTTTATAGGCAATCATTGAAGCTTTGTTAGTTCCAGGTTTAATATGTGCAATAAGTTCATTTCAATAAGTTCTGCAATAAACATTGAACCAGTCCGGCACTCGACTAGTACCCATTTTTTTATTTTGGCCCACTGTGTATTTGAGTTTGACACCCCTGGTTTAAATCGTATAGAATGTAGATAGACCCTACATTTGTTGTATACATGTACACGTATACATGTACCTCTTGTGCTAGACTGGAATCAACACTTATTTGTTGTGAGCCCGTTTTGGTACTGGACTAATTGCTGTGAACATATTCAGGTCATGTATTGCCTCTGGTGACCGTTATGTTTTTATTTTAATGTGTTAACGACTTAAAAATGAAATATTATTATTATACTGTGTCTCTCTGCAGGTGGACAAGCTGAACTCCCGCATGAAGCAGCTGAAGCGCCAGCTGGAGGAGGCGGAGGAGGAGGCTCAGAGGGCCAACGCCAACCGGAGGAAACTGCAGCGAGAGCTGGAGGACGCCACAGAGTCAACGGACTCCATGACCCGAGAGGTCTCCACCCTGAAGAACAAACTCAGGTGAGAAACAACACCCGAACATTTGTATTTATTTATTTTAAAGGGACACTGCACATTAATCAACACGAGCCCTTGAGTCCAGCATGTACATGTGCCAGATTTAGAGATGGAGGCTCATTTTCATCTGCAGTCCCTAGCTGGTTGATGTCATTAAAAGAAAACGTACAAGAGCACATGAGCAGGATTTAATTATATATATATATATATGCACAATTGCCGATTGCAACCAGGGACGTGGGAAGGGGGGGCTGAGGGGGCTGCAGCACGCCATCTGTTGGCGGAGAGTTGTAACTGCAACGCCAAAAAGTTCACAAAACAAATCGATACAAAAGTTTTATTTTGAGTTACTATTTTTGAGTTAGCATTTTAGTGTAAGCAGTTAATAAAAAGCTTCACTATAACAGAAAGTGATAATGCAGTGTGCTTGTTCTGTTGCTCTGCTATAGAAAAGAAGCTCGTCAGTGCAGACAAGATCAGGGATGGGAGTTTTGTGAAAGCAGGGTTTAACAACAGCCACTGCAAGGCTCCACTAGCACCCCCCTCCCCCGTACCCCAAACTCTGACTGACTTCCCGCGTCCCTGATTGCAACACATACAAAGCAAATATGCCCACTTGTATACAACCCAACATCTAGACACAAAAGCACACATTCTGAGAATTATAGCCAGTGTCCATATATTCCAAATAAAACCAAGGGAAAAAGAACAAATAAATAATAGAGTAAAGACTTGTGCTTAGATTCTGGTAGCGCCTGTGTTAATGCTCTTCCAGCATTTGTTAGCAGCTGTAATCTTGTTGTAATTGTCTCCATTGTATCTCATGTGTTTTACCTCTCACTGCATCGTGCTGGAGGACTGCGGCTTCCACCTTTTGCTATAAAAAGCAGAGGCATTTGAGAGTTTTAATTCAAATATATTTTTTTTCTTCTCTCCGTTCCAGACGTGGCGAACTCCCGTTCACCGTGCGCCGCACCATGCCTCGCACCGGCATCGAGAGCGACGAGGAGAGCGAGACCAAGAGCGAGACCCCCGAGTCCCCCAAGCCTTAAAAACCCTGAGTCATCATTAAAAACACCCGCATCATAAAATACAAAAACACACACTAACACACACTTCTGAACGGAGAGGAACACAAAACTAGAGAAACCGATTTCCTCCTAGTCCTGTGACAATCTATGCATTCATAACACACACAGTAAACTCGGGACAATCACCATGCTGACACACACACACGTTATTTTTGGGCCAAATGTTTTCGTCCGCTTCATGTTTCGTTCTCTGGGAAAAAGAAAAAAAAAAGGATATTTTTGTAAGGAAACATTCCAATGATGGTAGTCCTGATCCAGGATCTATTTTTCTAATTGAAGAAGGAAGGAAGTACACATTAATGAAGAGCGATCTACTGGAAGGGGACCAAAGTAATATCTCGATCTACAGAAAATGTATTTTATGCAGAAGTTTTTATAATGGTTAAGAATGGAAGTGCTTATTATGCTCTCGCTTCAGATTATAATGAAGGGTTATACGCGGAATGTATCCTATCGATTTAGCGTGGCGGTAGATTTGATCAACGTTATTTCTGTGAACAGATACTAAATGTATGAGTTAAAAACCCAATAAATGAAATTAAGAGAAATGTATAAAATTAATCGGCTTCTATACGAACTAAATCCACAAATAAAAAATACATAAAATGGTTTCTAAAATGTGGAATAATACATAAAGAATATTTGAATTTAAATTTGCAATTTCTTTCGACATAACAAATATTAAGCATTTTTTGGAAGGTTTCACTTTTACAAATTCCCCATTTACACATCTGTTCACACGAAGTAAAGTACGATAAATCTACCTCCTTGATTTAGCTGCAGTTAGTACTCGTGACTACGCTTATGGGCTTAAAAATGTAACACACATTTCTTGCGGAAACTTAAAAATCAGAGGCAGATTTCAAGTTAAAAAAAATAAATAATAATTACGGAAGGCGTTTTGATTGTGCTGAATTTTCTTAATTTTTGCACTGAGAAAAAAAAAGCCTTGACATTAAAAAAAAAAAACACTGCGTTAAGTTTGAAAAAGACTCATGGTAGTGAGTGTGAGCACACACGCGCACACTAAGGCCTTAAATGCAGCAGCTGAATTCTGGGTAGGGAGTTCTAATTTTTCTGGACATGCATTGATTTTTTACATTTCACTCTATCAGTGTTGTGTTTATGTTGAAGGTAAAGGGGGTGGTGGGGAAGTCTTATTACTCGCACTGTATCCTCAGAGCTCGGTTGCCGGGTAGATTTGGGAAGTTAGGGGACGTTTACCCCCCCCTCCGCAGGCTGTGCTTTCGGCTCACACTGCTGGGAAGTGAGAGGAATGTGTTGTTGTTGTTGTTGGGAATCACGGATTAAGAAGAATACAAATAATGAACGCACTTATAATAAAAAAAATTAAAAAAACAACAGCAAAGGAAATCCAAAAAAAAATGCTCAATTATTTTGTAATGTCTGTCTTTCTGCACCTCTGGAATCATTGTTGTGAAATGTTGGTATTATTGCAATTAAAGAGGCTTTCTAAACTGCTACCTGCTGTGTCTTTTTTATTATTTCATACTGATGTAGGAAGAGTCCTGTATTTATAATCATAGCTAAGTAAAAGCACAAACATTTTGGCATAAACGTTTATTCAAAGTACCAAATAACATTATTAGTGCGAATTCCACTATAGTACTTCAAATCTTTATTCTTCCCCTTATTATTATTATTTCAGCCAATATTTTGGCATTCCATAACTTCAGCTTATTTTCAGCTACAGAAACCATTCAAATATTAAACTATTCAGCCTTTTTAGCAATTGATGGGAAACTTTGAACTTTTTCACAATATTTCATACCTTTTTTTTAAATATTCAGCTTTTTAAACTCTTTTTTTAACATTGAAGTCAATGGGAGAAGCCTTCAAATCCACTTTTCCTAAACTTTGCGCCAAATGCTACTCCTTCCACATACTTTCAGCTAGACACTTCATTCTGACTTTCAAATAATCACAAGACCGTCAGCTATTCAATTCCTATTCAGATTTTTGATATCTTTTAAACTTTTTGAGATATTGAATTTAGTTTGGAGCTTGGTAGAGAGGCCTTTTTCAGATTTTAACATTAGAGTGGATGGGAGCAGCTCGTCAAGTCTAGAGTGCTTTGATCTCAAAACAGAGTGGAGCAGTGCTTGAAATTCTCCCCCAAAAATATTTTAAACTTGCCATAATTCCCAAACCCTACACTCCTCAGACATATTTTTTCATGAAAAACTTAGGAAAACCTCTCCTAGGTTGTAAAATAAAAAAAGATAAAAATTAAACAAAATGCCTCTTGAGGGCATGAAGAGACAAAAAGTCCAGCTAGCTCCCAATTGATTCCCATGTTAAGAACATCTGGATCTTTCTTCAGAACAGAGTGAAGTGCACTTTAGACAAACTGCTCTCCTCACATTTACCACACAAAACCAAAAAAACAAACATATTTCAGTTCATTGGGGTTCCCTGATGCTCAAGGCCTGGTAATTTTGTGATAGGAGCCATATCTTTTGAACAGGTGGCAAAATGGTCAGATATACTCCTCAATGCATTCTTATGGGACTCAGTGCTGCAGTTGGTTGTCATGGTGCT